AGGAAGAAAAGTAGTCACCGTTCAGAAGGAAGGACAGTGTCAGCACTAATTCAGAGATGATTTGAGGATTTACAGCCGAGTGATACACAAATAAGATTTTTGTTTTTGTTAATAGTTAAGGTACTTGAATGCATTTTTGAGATTTAACTCCTGAGTTAAGTGTCACTTTATTTGATGATTATTCTAGCTTTAGTGACCAAATAATCAGGATTTTATTAAGACAGGAGGCAAATATGTTGCATAACTCTCCTTACTGATTCCTCATAGCAGCAAAGAAACATAACAGAAAAGAGAAATAACCAATAGTAGCACAAAGCATTTTATAAAGTCCGCCTATTAAAGGAGAACTATGAGGTGAGTGCTTTTCACTCCCGTCATAGTTCTAGCCGACCTGTGACAATGAGACTGTCACAGGTCGGCTCAGTAGATCGGTAAGTGAGCGAACACATACCAGCGTTCGCTCACTTCTCGATTCTGTCACGGCTCTCTGCCGTGACAAGGGAGGGGCTGGATTCCCCCCTCCCTGCTCCGATCCGCCAGCGCTGACTGGCAGAACGGATAGGCAGAGCCAGCTGTCAGTCACGCAGCTGGGCGGATCCCGGCACAATTAGTGTAGGATTAAGTCTATGCAATGTCTATAGCTTAACTAGAAATAGACCCTCTCGCCACTGGCGGAACTACCAGGGTCGCAATTGCGACCTGGCCCTGGCGGTTCGCCTGTTGGGGGAGCCTAGCATTGCTGTATAAAGTACTGCTGAGATTTGTAGTCCTCTATATAGGGTCCCATGCTGCATTGCTATATAGCACTACAAATACCAACTGTACTTTATACAGCATGTCAATCAGTTGGGCTACAAAAAACAATGATTTTATTTATTAACTTACCTTGACCTCTTCTGGCTGTTTTCTGGAGGTGGAGGCTGCAGAAAAACACACCAGTGTGTGTGTGTATCCATCTCAGACAGCGCACCCGTGTACTCAGGTGGCTGTTTGCTGGGTCCTCACGGCCGAGGCCCAGGGCTACCCCCTGAAGGGTCTGCCGGATACTCCCTCCACAGTATCCGGCGCAGAGATGAGCGGGCCCGCCGGCTGCCGGATACCAATGTGATCATCGGACACTCCCAGATAGCACCGGATACCGATGCGGTGCTATCCGGCGGCCGGACACCGGCGGCCCCCCCCATCTCTGCCCCGGGGCTGTGTTAGATCAGATACTGGGCCCCCCTTTAGGCTCAGGCCCTGGGGCGGCTGCACCGGTGGTAGGTCCGCCCCTGCGCTCTGCCACCTGCAGCATGTACGGGCGGCTGTGCAGCAGGGCTGGAGAGGCTGTCTCTAGTCCCATAGAATGTGCTGCAGGCACTGCCAGGCAGCACATTTTGCTGTGTGAGGACCCTCTCCACTTAGCCCTGCCCGCTGGCCACCGAGACACACGGAAGAGGGCCCTGCAGCATAGGGAAGGTAAGTCTGGAGTGGGAAGGGGGGGCGCGCGGAGGGGGGGGGGATGCTGGTGGTATTCTGCATAGCTGACTTTTATTATTGCTAGGACTTGTAGTCCCGCATAGCTGGTGGTATTCTGCATTGCTGTATGAGGATTATACAACAATGAAGAATAGCACCAACTATGTAGGACTACAAGTCCTCGCAACGCATTATATTAGGGATAGTAGGGATACACCACTGCCAATACTGGGCATTTTCACAAGTACTCATACTCGTGAAAATGCCCCGATCGATACTAAATGCAGATACCGGCGCTCTGCCGAGAACGCCGATGTAGTCGAATTTGCCGACCTCAGGATCTGCGCTTGCGCACAGACCAGTATTATCGAGGAAACGGGGATTTATTTACAAAGTATTTTGTTTAAATTGTTAATTGTGACCGTTAATAATATTCCATCCATCATTTACTGCCATGCATGGCATATTATTAACGGTCACAATTAACCATTACAAACGAATACTTTGTAAATAAATGCCGGTTTCCTCGTTAATCCAATCTGTGCATAAGCGCAGATACTGGGTTAGCGTTCTCGACAGAACACCGGCACTAACATTTTAAACAAGCGGCTGCCTGAGGTCCCGTGCTTGCTGGGGACTTTGGCAGCCTTCCTGTTAACCATGTGGTGCCATGGCAGTGGGGGGTTGGGGCCCTTCATGGTTTCTTGCACCGGGGCCCTGAAGGTTCTAGTTATGCCTCTGCCTCTTGCTGTTTAATTTACGCCACTAAAATAAAAATAAATAAGTATAAACAATGCAATTCACATGCTTTCCAGTAAAAATAAATTTGCTTTCCAGTAAATAATGCAAGGGGAACATGTTGTAAGTGTCCCCCACTACAGGCATACACGTTGCACTAGTGGTGGTTAGCTCTCTTGATGTAAGTAGTCTCAAGTGCAACCCTAAAGATCACCAAAGGGCCACACATAGCTTTCTGTAGCATTACATCCACTGAATATTGTCAGAGACTGCAGACATAGAATAGGAGATGGTCAGGGACCGGAGACATACAACAGGATATGGTCTAGACATGTGCACTGCCAAAAAATTTGTTTAGTTTAGTTTCGTTTTAAATTCGGATTTGTGTTATTTCGTTTTTCGGGATTCGGGTGTGATTTGGATTCGGAATTTGGATTCGGACGAAATTCGGTAGCGGTAGGTCGAACGTTCGTTTTGTTTTCTGTTCTTATTCGTTTCGTTCGTTCGTGACATTTGAGGGGGAAAAATACTTTTCTCCTTCTCTAATGTCACTTTGCTCCAACGAACGAAACGAATAAGAACAGAAAACGAAACGAACGTTCGACCTACCGCTACCGAATTTCGGAAATGGAAATTCGGATTCGTTTCCATTCGTTATGTCTGTAATTCAGAATTCGGATACATCCGAATGTCCGAATTTCCGAAAATTCGTCCGAATTTCGATTCGGGACGAAACGAATCGCACATGTCTAATGGTCAGGGACTGCAGACGTACAACAGGAGATGGTCAGAGACTGCACAGGATATGTCTCTTACAATTTTAATTGCTTTTACTTGGGTTAGGGTTTCTTGGCTTTTTAAAGGTTAACATTTCTACTTGCTGCTCCTTCTTTGTATTGTTAGGAGGGGTTGTTAGGGGTTTGTTCATAATCATTTGTAAAGTTCATTTGAGTACTGCCTAACACAGCATTAAAAGCCTGGCTTGTGCATTGTGGTTTAATGAAATTAATGAGAGAAACGCAATCCTCAAATTTCAGTCCTACATTTTCCATAAGGACAGATCACTGTGAAGGTGCTCCGAATCCTGGAATCAGCCATTTTGCTGCAACAAAACATCTAAAAGGTAAGAAATATTCTTAAACATGATTCTTATTACGCTGTGTGAATAGGAACACACAACGAACATATAGAGGGGCTATGACACTCAATGACTAGAGACACATTACATGAAGCTGCTAGACATCACAGCTATTTGATGTCTAGGTGGATCCGCATTTTTAATGCCCCACAAAAGCTAAAACAGCAGCCGCTCAGGAATGTATACAGACAGCAATGCTTCACATCATAGCAAATTATGAACAACTTGTCGGTAGCCATTTGTCCAACACAACCATTGCAATCAATGGCAATCAATCAGTGGATACATCATTGTGGAGCGGTATTGTAAATGAAAATCCCCATTGGGATTAAAAAAAGCAGAAAAGGATGTTGGCAGTATTGCTTCCTGAATGCCAGGCAGCCGCTGTTCTGCCTCCCCCCAGAAAAGCAATCCACTGTAGATCACTTTTCAGAGGGACAGTGGAGTCAGCTGCTTGTCTGACTGAGGCCTAAGAAAAAAACAGATTATTGCTTGAAGGGGCCCCAAGGGTCACACAATAAGTGTTCAAAGGAACTCAGAGTGACAGGACGTTACACATATTGATAATAGACAGAAGTGCTTATTGTGAAGCAGATGCCCTATTGCTGCTCAAACAGGCAGCCAGCTGACCTTTACTGTACGTACATGGTTTTGAAAGCACCATTGCATCCTGCATTGCCAGGCACAATGTACTCATTAAACTATCCTAAGGAACACAGTCCACTTTGTCCACTCTCAATGTGATTTTATAGTTACTGAGGATAACTAAGGAGGGGATTAACTAAATAATTATAAATAATAAATGCATATTCCAACCATGCAAACCTATGTTCACATCAAAGACCATTCTGTGTAAATGAAACACAAAGGACTGTCCTGTTCATGTATATAAGTTCTCCAGGCTTATAGTGTCTTTAGTAAGGCCTGCCATTTTCATAGTCAGCTAGCTGTGGAAAAAACATAAGCTTGGCTAGTTATATTTGGGTAGTGTGGTGGTTTAAAAAATTGCAGAGTAATGGGCCTGGAAAGTCAAATACTTAGATCTTCAGACTTCTGAGGATGTTTAGGAATCAGGGTTTAGGAATTAAGGAATTCTTCCATTTACCTTGTTTAATACAGTGAAGGGCATTTATCAAAACTGGAGCAGACAAAATCTGGAGCAGCTGTGCATGGCAACCAATCAGCTTCCCTCTTTCATTTGCAAATCTTAATTGAACAAACTGAAGAGAGAGGCTGATTGGTTGCCCTGCACAACTGATCCACATTTTGTCTGCTCCAGCTTGGATAAATTCCCCCCCCCCAAGAGTGTTTTCACTGCGAACAATGGGGCACGGTGTCCAGTTGGGGAACATGGAGAACTTAGATGCTTTCAGAAAACTATCCATCTACAGAAGGTTGTACATAGTTTGATCTGTGAAAGCTACAACAGTTATCAACTACTACGTATTGTGAGGGCCTACCTAAATAATCCCCTCCAATAATATCTAGTCAGTGAGGCCCTCATATTACACAACTGCTTTCAGGTTTCATTAAACTAGAGGCTTAAGACTGGTCTTTGCATAGCAAGCCACGAGTTCAGAACTTTAACATACAGACAACATTATACACAAAGGTATACCTAAACAGCCAGTATTGGTGTATTTATGAAATTAAATAATAATCTTACCATGAAATCATTAGCAAATCCATCTGTGTTTTCTTTCTTTCTCAGGTAGCCATCAAGGTAACGCTGAAGAACCTCCCTCTGCTCCATGTTGTGAGGCCGGCAGAAAATATCGTCACATTAAGTCGATTTTTAATGAGACCACTCTGCAGATGCGAGGAGTGTGGTTAACAAACATCTCGGCAGAAAGAAACAAGTATAAAGTCTTAAGCGGAAGCTATTACTGACAGCTACTTGTGGTCATGCAAGAAACTAACAGGGTCCTATTGCCTTCCACTTTTGCCAAAAGGTTTCATTACGTTAAAAATGTCTTATTTATATTCTATGATAGCTGTGAAACAACAAAACCTACTACTGATGCTACTTACATTCTGAACATGAATCTTTGCTGATAATATTGTTACCTTTTCCTCTATCTCATAAACAATGTGTTCATTGTTGATACTCAGGGGGAAATTACGCTTTTGAATATACAGGCATGCTGTTTTACAGTTAAGTAAAATATGTGTGTATGTAAGCAAGTATTTAGGTTGGATACACAATAAAGCCGCAAAATCTTGTTTTTTCTTTTATACTGTGTTACAATAGACATATACATTGTATAATGGGAACATATGAGTATATGAAAATGGGGGCCATTACTTTTATACTTTCATATAGCCTTAAAGAAGAACGCCATGATTTTTTTAAATTAACCCTTGCAGTGGGCTACCCCCGCACTGCAAAGGTTAACTGCTCGATCATGTCTGGGTTTAAAAAACAAAGATATACTCACCCAAAGCTCAGAGCTGACTTCTTCTTAGACCGGTCCTTACAATGTCTCTCGGAGCTTCGGGTGAGTATATTTTTGTTATTTTAGCAGCTAGACAAAAACGAGCACTTAAGGGTTAATTTAAAAAATCCTGAAGTTCTTCTTTAAGTTGGCCATACGCTGAATGTTTTTTTTTTGCATCCAGCCTCTTGGACTGAATGAGAAATAATGCTTAATTTCCCCATCCACACTAAACAGTGTGGGTGAAGGAATCTGCCCTGACATGCTATTGCATTCTGACAGCAATGGATGTACCACTGTCAGAATATCCAAACTGCAGAGACAGCCAGGAAACTAGCATTTTCCTGGCTGTCTCTGAAGGAGATTAGCACTAGAAGGTAATGTAGCAATCTCACTACAGTGTTCACTTCGGACAAATAAAAAACGCGTTGCTACCCCTGGACTGCAAGGGTTAAGTACTCACTTTGTCTAGGGGACTCAAATAAAGCAGATTTACTTATCTGATCCTGGCTCCCAAGGTGATCAGTTCTTCCCCCCCTCCACTCTGGCTATGGAGCGTCCTCACACGTAATGCAGGTCAATGGGCCTGCATAAGACGTGATGACATCCGCGGTCCTTAAACCAGCTGAGCCCAGGGGAGAAGAGGTTGTGGGGACTGGTCTAGCAGTCCGGATGCAGCCGGGATCAGGTAAGTAATTCTGCTTTATTCCAGCCCATAGACCAAAAAGGACACTTAACCCTTGCCGTGCAGGGGTAGCCTTAATGTAAGGGTAGGTCTTCTTTAATGCCTTCCTCCCCAGCAGCATCTGCTTTTCTCCCTTTAGCTCCTACTCACCTATATTGGGCTGCCTGGAGTGAGGAAACTCCAGGTGCCCTTGTCAGAGCTTTCACAGGGATGAGGACTCTCCCCACCCGAATGTGACAGTGCTGGACCAATCATCAGGCACCAGTGGTGTTACGTGAGAGCAAAAGGAATAAGTCACATGCCCCTTCATATCAGGACATACAGTGTCATTTCTTTGTTCAGAGTGACTAAAAGGAGTACTAGGGAAGTGAAGGAAAGGTGATTGTGTGCAGTTTGGAAGGGTGTATTAAAGCAGACTTGTTGCTTTTACTGCATGAGCAAAACACGGGTTTAAGCTGGCTATACACTTCATGTTTTAGCTCATTCCACCCGATTCCCCCATCCACGCTAAAGAGCGTACATGGGGGGGCATCTCCTCTGATAAGCTATTGATACACTTTGATATACAGTATCTGGTCCAGTGAGTGAACTGAGAACTTTATGTGTGTCAGCTGCCTTGTAAGTGTTCCACTTTTACATATACAATCTATCTTCTCAGTGTATTGTATTTCTAACTACTCTGAAAGATTCTGTTTCTTGTCTTTGACTTGCTGCACTTTCTGTTTCATCCCTTGGGGGCTAGCCGCATATTCAACTTGTTGAGCCTTAAACTAGGCAATTGTCTTTAGATTTACTAGAAATGTGAACTCTTTCTGTTTATACACTTCCCAAAACTTGTAAAAACAAATAGTACCTACTATTCAAGTGAAATACACTTCAGTAGGAAATATGCAAATGGTAGAAATAGAACAGCTTTCAGCCTACACACATTTTTAAAGTGTCCCCCACTATATACTTACACAATATGTAAAAAAAAAAAAAAAGAAGAAGATTTTATGCAGAGGTACGTCTTGTCAAATAAACCCCCTGAGGATGCAGGAGCAAGCTGCCAATATAAAATACTACTCTAATAATTTTTTTTAACATACATATACTGTCACGAAAACACCATATCATTATGTATTGCAATATATTGCTACTTTTTAAAATGCATGGTAAAGTGTACTGAGTCATAGTGCACAAAGTCAACGCTATCTATTTAGCAATTAAGTATTTTCTCTATACTACCTTCAAACTACAAAGGATGACCAAGGAGGGCATTAACTAGAAGTTAAATCAAATATTCCATCCAGGACTGTGCAGGAGTATATTCTACACAAGATTTGGGATCCACAGCTTTACCAGGTTCCCATGGGAGGTCCAAGATACATCACTAGCACCTACCAAGCAAGACAGAAGTCATGGTCTAAGGTTTTCCTACCTTTTCTTTTTTCAACTGGTAATGCGTTTTTTAGATTTTTACTAAAAGGGTTTTTTCCACAAAAGGTTGAAGAGTTTGGAGAAGGCAGGAGAATTGGATAATCTAATAGGTAGTTTGCTATTGCAAAGTGTAATAGCCAATAGGAATCTAGCTATGCATTCCTATGGTGTTTTTTTTTTATTCTGACGGCGTACACCAGTGGTTTTCAACCTGTGGGTCGCTGTGTGATTTCTGCTGTGCTAGGTGAGAGTCCTCCTGAGCCCTCTCCTCTCCTAGCGCAGCAGTGTCAGTTCTGCCATGTATAAATACACCATGTATAAATACCATGTATAAATACATAAATGGTCCATATAGTGTGCTTGGTGCCAGATGTCGCTGCAGCAGCCATGTCGTCCCTAAATTTTACCGTTGGGGGGGGGTCACCACAACTTGGCAAATGTTACCAAGGGGTCCCGGGCCTAGAAAGGTTGAGAACCACCGATCTAGGACAACATAGCTGAACTGAAAAGTGAGCTGAATTGCAGAATGTTCCCAAATCAGCTATTTTGGGCTAGACTGTTTACTTCTCCTGCCTTTTCCAAACTCTTCACCTTTTGTGAATAACCCTGTAAGTGTTTTTACATAGGGGGGGGGGGGGGGGT